GAGGTATAGGAACACATTTGGTATTGCTCACCTTGCCGGACCTTGCTTATCCCATTCGTCGCCTTTCCATTCCAATATCTCGCTCACTTTCAATTCGGTATTCTTGCCTGCCACCTCGTCCTCTGTCGTCCCGTCGTTCAGTTCTCTCCGACGACCGATCTTCCCTCATGTCATGTTGTATTCGGATTTCTTGGTCATTGCCTCTCACGCGATCTTTCTGCTTTTCATGTCTTACTCGACGCTCCCTATGGCCACTAGGTGCACTCCTTCTGGGATGAGATGGGTTATAGCGGCCCAAGTGCTGAAAACTCATATACCGATAAAAACCTTGGTCAATTACTCGCGGCAGCCATATGAAAATACCTTCAACTCGACTGCCACGTTTTCAAGCCAATCCCTCGCCGACTCTTCCTCCCAAAACGTTCCAGGAAGTTTGACGAGAAGGATCGTAATATGTGGTCCAAGCGTGCCACTTAAAATATCCCTATTTGTTTCGGCTTCACTGCACTCTATAGGAAGAGTTCTGCAGTGTGCTCGCCTGATAAGCTCACCACTTCTTCTCCATGGTACTTATAAGTGTCGATAACAATAAACATGTCCATGATTGCAACGAGGAAATCAGGAGAAATCGTCATCCCACTTACGCGAGTCATTACAGCCGGGTATCCAAACATTCACCATGGTTGGGACATGTACGCTAAATTACAACATATGGGATGGTATATGAAATATAACATGAGCGTTTTGAATTTGTTTTCTTTTCTATGAACTGTTATGGATTGAAAATAGTTGTCAAAGAATATAGAAAAATGGTGCTAACTTAGTTGGGGGGGGGGCACGCGGCGGCGCGGCAGTCTGCTCACCTGGGCTCTCTCGAGCGAGACAGTGTAAACTCGAACATTCCAGCTTTTCACGCATGTCAAGTGACTGCCCCCACCCCCACCCCCTAGACTGGCTACACTCCCCCTGGCCCACGGATTTCCGAACATGCCAGGCGAGCAGACTGCCGCGCCGCCGCGCGTGGCCCCCCCCCAACTAAGTTAGCACCAAATATTAATATTTCTGCTAAAGATCCAACTGGCTATCCAATGCCGATTTCTGCTAAAAGGCTCATCAAGAAGATAAGGGTTAATGGGAAATAAATGTAATCAATATAGGTGTGATGTGGAAAAATCAGCAACTGAGCTTAGGGGTAAATAGGTAGATAAGAAAGGGTTGTATGCGAGGTGTGACGCCCTGGATTCGCACCTCTCGAAATTTTGTCGAATTTCAACAAACCTTTTCCCTAAAGTACAAAAAACAGAAAAAAAAAACAGAAATTGCGTGGAATTGAAACGAAGAAACCTTACCGTGTTGAAATCACAGAATCGATGATACGCTGAGCGCTTTCATGAACATCCTTCATATCAGTTTCCACTGAGCAAGAAATATGTAACAGTTGCATGAGAAAGATATTTGGACGAATATCCGGGAAAGGAGAAGCCAACCGATTGAACAAGTGCGGAACAGCTAGCTCGTTGCCTTAAGTGAGAATGAAACGGGTAGTTCAGTCATGTGAAAATAGGTTGTTAGGAAGACGCACCAATTTTACGTCTAAGCGATTGTTTCCTGGCATATTTCAACGCTTCCACAATATCATCTGGTGATGCGATTCTTCTCTCTCATCATGGAGAGCCTGAGATAAATCAATTGCCAGAACACGGAGTTTTACACAACTCTGTACGATAAAAAAAAAACCCCAAGGTGCACAGTAAGTAGTAATACAGCTCAGAAACACCTTGGACCATCGCCTGGGTTCTCAGGAGTTGAGACTCGACCCGCTCTCACCTCTACTTCCGGTTGCGACTTATCCGCACTAAAAAAATAAAAGTGAAGCTCAATTGATTAACGACTACCTGGCTGACTGGGGACTTCACTTGAGAATGCTGTTCTGCAAAACCGCTGAGTGACAAAGAGTGAACTATGAAATCATAATCTCCCTTTTCAATCATTTATTATATGTCTAAACGTAAACTTATGCAATCTATGCAATTTTCACTTCCATAAAATGAGCACTGTGAGATGGAGAGGGAAATGATTGGTTATTCAGTCAAATGCGTAATCACGGATACAAACTTCCTATAAAGTCATGGGGCTCGCAAGAATATAGACCCGTTCGATCCGTTTATTTTGGCATAGATCTCTCATAATTACCACATGACAGCAACTGCTCAAAGAAACGTCGCGCAGCCGGCAGAAATTTACTCGCGATTGCAGGCAGGCTTTCTGATTAGCTGGGCTGATTAGACGAAAGCCAGGTCAGCCAGAAAGCCAAATAGTACCTACAAGGGCATCGATTCTCCTTTGTTAGCGGTTGTTCCATTTTTGAATTTGCAAAACGCTGCTATCTTCATATGGATGTACTAGGTATTGTATCGGATCAGTGTTGTCGAAGCTTTTCTTCTATGTTCATTGAATAATCATACAACATTGCCTTTACCAATCTCTGAACTTAAAGGCAGAATCTCCGACGAAAACGCATTCCTCAAGAATGAGGGAAAGGTGGCCAGCGATGTAAGTATGAAGAAAAAACAAGAAAAGCGGTCTAGAGCCCACAAACGGTACCACTTCCTGGTCGGTTCGTTTTCGAATTGATGCGACTCTCATCGGTGCTGCCCTCAGTAACGGTAACGCTCTTTCTGCAGAATGGTTAGCCACACAGCGTAGCTGCTTCCCAAACATTGGACGATTCCTTGCAGGAATGAAAGGGGTGCGGTACCACTGAAGGTCTCTCTAACACTTCGCCAGCTGTGTGTTGACTGGACTTTGGCGTTGACCGTGGAGCAGCTTATTTACTATTGAAATTTGAACAAATATTCAAATGATTATAACTTTCTTCAAATATGACGAATTTTCAATCTGAAAGCAGATTTGGAAGTTTTGTGAAGAGCTTTTTCTAATCAGTACTGAAATTACAAAAAGTTATAAGAAATAACAAATTTAGATCAATTAACGAGGAAAATTCGAGACGAGCACGAGTTTTTACACGTAATAACTTCGTATAGCATGTATGCTATTAAATATGCCTATATGCTCCGTACATTCGGGCCAAGTTGAAAACAGTCTTAGACTAGACGATTCTCTCTTCTTTATCACGGCGGTTGTAACTTTAATAAGCATTATTTTTTTTAGAATTCCCGTTTCTTACGGGGAAAATATTACGAGAGAGTCATTAAGCAGCGTACGAAATTTACTACGTACAGATTCTGGCATATCGAAGTTGTCACTAAAGCAGCTTCATACGTCCAGTATTCAAAAAATGGCCACGTTGAGGATTTTCGCAAAATTAACGAGGAAAATTTGTGATGAGTGCGAGTTTTTTTACTTCCTAAAGCCATAACTCCGTTCAAACTCATCCAATCCGAAAAGTAAATACGCCATCATAAACTAGAAGATTTGCTCTATCAAATGCTTACTAGAACTGCTCCAAACGTCCAGTATTAAAAAAACGGCTACGTTGAGGATTTTCGCACGAGTACCGCCGAAAGGTACTTTTTCGCTACATTGGCACTATTTCAACGGCTGTATATCCTTTTAAGGGCGATTATGTACTAAAGTAAGAGCAGATTTGGAATCACTGCTTTTCTCTTTCTAAGAAAAGTGATTGATTAGCGTTTCTCAACTTTAAAGGTTACATGTTTATAAATTTAACCCTGAAGAGTCCGTTAACGCAATGTTGAATGGTGTACACCTCCCTGTAAATGCGCACGGACACTTTCAGAATTCTCTCGATTGTTCCTGAATTGAGGTTGTTTGTCCAAGGAGCCGTAGTTGAAGCGCGCGCAACAACTAGACCCTTTCTCGGATGCGCCGTGTACCTCACATCCCTTCAGATTCGGGGTCTTACTTGAAAGATGAAATATCTCTTGGAAAGCGTGCGAAATTCAGATTCTTTAACTTGTGTGGTGATAAAACACTGAAGTAACTAAGAATTACCGGACGCCTCAGAATCACGAAAATTTTGTGTGGGTGAAATATCATTTTCATTGGAAATCCTCTGGCCTGGCATCGACTCATCCTTGATATTTGTCTTCCGACGGTGATGATCCCTGCATCAAAATGGCTCGATCTCTTCCACCCAGCGGGCCAATACGACCCCCCCCCCCTGCGACGTGTCGAGGATTCCTCAACGCACGCTTGACCCTGTCTGAAATGACCAATCGCCAAACACTCCACGACTTATTCTTTGATGTTGGTACATTTCAGGATAACGCTCGTCTAGTCCGTGACACGTACGCGTACTTCCCAATATTAATGAAGTACACCGACTTACATCGTGCTCAGTGGCTAAAGGTCTGGTTTATAGCTATAATAGTTTCATAATTTGACTTTTTTGTTTATTACTGTCACCTCTTGCATTACCTACTGCCTTGTCAACTCCTCTGTTCAGGCTCCGTCATGGGAGACTGACGGCGTTTACGAAAACGTTGCGGTGATCTTCCGTATCTGGAGTCAAAGTCAACACTTCAAGGTGGGTGCTATAATTAGGAAGTGAAGGTCCATATTAGTGGATAATTCGGCACCTGTTGGCATAATGATTTCTCGAGAATTTTCAATGCTTACATAGCTTTGTAGGATTTGTTCAGATTTGCTCCTTGGACTGATAATTAAGGACAAGCGTTAGTGAAATTGCTATGAAAATGTTTTTCAAGCATGTCACTGACTAAGCAGAAAGCGAGTCATCAAGCAACAGTGCATTGACCTTTCACTGCGAATTTGCATCACTGCTAGCTGCACTTCGTGCCTCGAACCGGCTGCAGTGGCTGCACCTCGACCGCCATATGAACGAGCTCTTTGCCATGGCACGCAAGAGAGCGGGGAGGACGGGGAGGGGGAACAGATCCTCTTAACTCCTAAAGAACCACTTACCGAACTCGGCAAGCAAACTTGACATTAGCGCTCTATAATGTCTACAGAGATGCACATACATATATCTCATTAAATGACCGTGGCAAACTGGAGCCTTCAAATTGTCGGCACAAGGTACCATGGGCGAGCTGCCCAACATGCCTACATTGAAAGAATTCAAAGGCGAAAGAAGGTTTCAATTCCCCGTGAAGTTCGACTGACTCATTGTTTTCTAAGGCCTTACTTCCAGGTCGAGGTGTAGCGGGGCGCCGCACACGCTTAAGTTAAGTTGCATGTTAAAGCTAAAAGATTCACCGATAATGCACCAGCTACCCTACACCTTACGGTAGGAAATAGGCCTTTGAAAACGGCGAGTCTGTGGAAGGTTGGCTATGATAAAAATTCCTCAACTACCAATTTCGTGATAGAAGCATATCTATGCAACAACAATTTCGAACATGCCAAGGTTGCAAGATGAGATGACTTGGGATTTTCTCTAGCAGGTTTCGTATGATCTGACATGCGAAGATTTTTGCCAAGATTTCGAGAACATTCTTTTCAGCGCGAAGAATTGAACTACATGGCACAGTTTGAAGAGGACGCAGCAATGGTCGGTGGTGGTGAGATGAAGACCGGCAAAGCAGCCATTGCCGAGCGAAAGAAGAAAAGGAGGGAAGGACA